TATCATCATCGGATGAGCAACTAGATGAATCAATGTCTGTGAGCCAATCACCGATGATGTATGCCTTTCCATTTTAATTCTTCTTGTGAAAGTCCTTCTTCTTGCCATCTTTCTTCTGGTATGGCTTGTTTTTCTTCTTCTCATCATTATCTTCATCACTTGAGTCATCTTTCTTGCCCTTGTACTTTTCTTACACTTGTCTTTCTTGGGCTTGGTGTATTGATGAGCTAGATGACCAAGTTCTCCACAATTGTAGCAATCCATCTCGGAGATTGGCTTCCTTCTAGTGCTAGTGAAGAACTTCTTTTTCTTGCCATCAAACTTGCTGACATTCTTGTTGAGCTTCTTTAGCATCTTGGCGGTTCTTCTCACCATGAGAGCAAGACTTGCATCATCAACTTCATCATCACTTGAGCTCTCATACTCAATTCTTGCTTTGCCCTTCTCTTGGCTAGCCTTAAATGCCAAGTCTTTGTCTTTCTTCTTGGTAGAGGATGAGCCATCTTGTGGTGTGATGTGCATGTACATCTTATGAGCGTTGATCTTTCCCAAGATTTGAGTCGGTGTAGCGGTGGAAAGATCACCTTGATGAAGCACGGTCATAATATGCCCATATTTATCAATGGGGAGGACACTCAAGATTTTTCTTACAACATCGGATGGTTGCATTTGAGTGAGTCCAAGCCCATTGACTTTCTCTACAAGAACATTCAAGTGTGAGTATATTTCATTAGCACTCTCTTTAGGAAGCATCTCAAAATAATTAAGCTTTTTCATTACGAGATGATAGCTTCCTCACGCTCGCTCTTAGTTCCCTCATGGAGCGCACAAATGTCTGACCATAGTGCATGGGCGTCCTTGTGGTTCCTCACTCGGTTAAACACATCTTTGCAAAGGCCTCTAAAGATGATGTTTCTAGCCTTTGCATTCCATTTTTCATAGTTCACTTCATCGCCTTGAAGGTGCGTGGGATCCCGAGGTTTTGGGAATCTTTGTGAGGCAGCTCTAAGTATTCCAACATCTAGAGCTTCTAAATATGCCTACATGCGGATTTCCCAATAAGAAAAATCATCTCCCTCAAAGATAGGAGGAGGTCCATCCCCGTGAGCCATCTTTCTCTAAGCGGTTAAGCCTAAATATGTGAGCATGAGGCTCTGATACCAATTGAAAGGATCAAGATGCCCAAGAGGGGGGGTGAATTGGGCTAATTCTAAAATTCTTTGCAATAATTAAACCTTACACTTAGCCCACTTCACCCCTTGTGCCTAGAAAGTATTTCTAATATTCTACCACACAAAAGTTTTGCACCCTAAGTTTCAATCCTACTCTAGCATGGCAATTCTATAAATGTAAAGACAAGAATTGAATTGCTCAAAGTAAAGAGAGAAGGAGGAACGTGGCGATGTTTTGCCGAGGTATCAGAGAGTCGCCACTCCCCACTAGTCCTCGTTGGAGCACCCGCGCAAGGGTGTAGCTCCCCCTTGATCCGCTCAAGGATCAAGTGCTCTCTACGGATTGATTCTTCGACACTCCGTCGCGGTGAATCACCCACAACCGCTCACAACTTGAGTTGGGTCATACACAAGCTCCACCGGATGATCACCAAACTCCCAATCACCAACAAGCCGTCTAGGTGATGGCGATCACCAAGAGTAACAAGCACAAACTCGCACTTGACCACGACAAGCCTAATGAGAAGGGTGGATGCACACTTTGCTACTCTTGCTTTCACTAATGAGGCCTCTCTCTTGGATTCTCAAATCTCAATCACCTCACTAGGACCTTGCTCTCCTTGGCACTCTCAAGGGTGTTTCCCAACTGTTGAAATGAGCAAAAGTGATCTCTTGAGTGAATAGAGGAAGTATTTATAACTCCTCATTCAAAATGAACCGTTATGTGCCACTGCGGGGTGACTGGACGCTCCGGTCAAGGTGACCGGATGCTCCGGTCAGTTCTCCCAGCCACCGAGCCATTAAGTTGTGATCGGACACAAACCAGCGTCCGGTCACAAAAATTGCCCTCTGGAACCTTACTGATGTTGACCGGACTCTGGCACCCAGCGTCCGGTCAGTAGCCGGAACCTGACCAGCATCCGGTCAGTACTGACCGGACGCGTCCGATCAGGATTCTCCCTCTCTAGAGCCTTACAGGAGTTGACCGGACTCTAGCACCCAGCGTCTGGTCACATTTCACTCAGCGTCCAGTCGCATCCAGACGACTTCACCTTGATCAAATGAACTGACTGGATTCTGCGCCAGCGTCCGGTCACACCGGAACCAGCGTCCAGTCAATATTTGACCCTCCATTCACTTTGAACTCGCAATCATATGTGAATGAAGTTTGCTCCAATTGATCTTAGGGCTACTTAGGAGCTACCTAGTGCTAGATTTGACAAATATGCACCACACCTAACCCACTAGACTCACCTAGGTCAAGCTACCCGTCCATACCCCCTTTAATAGTACGGCCAAAGGAAAAACAAAGTCCTAAACTACTCTAAGTGTCTCTTTAACACCAAACGACACTTAGAACTAGTCCATCTTTAACCTTGTCGTCCATCCTTTGAAAACCGAAATGATTTCCATCGTAGGGGCATGACAACCATGATTGCCCAATCAATTGCCATTACCATGACCTAACTTAATTGCATCTGCAAAACACACGTTAGTCACAGTAATCTCGTATTGTCATTAATCACCGAAACCCAACTAGAGGCCTAGATGCTTTCAATCTCTTCACGCATCTTCTCCACGGCCTCCTCGGACTTGCGGATCGTGCCCATCTCGAGACGCAACTCGTTCACCGACGCGTCGATAGTCGGCTTCCAGGTGTCGAACACCTGGGCTGCATCCTCCAGCTTGGCGAAACGCTCGGAGATGAAGCTCTCGACCGACCTGATCCGTCGGCCCAGCGAGGTTTCCACCTTGCCCAGCGATGACTCCATGCCTCCGATGCGTCCCTCCAAAGCCGAACGTATCGCCTTCATCTCATCGATGAGGAGCTTGGTGTTCGGATCCATGGCCCCAAGCTAGCGGCAGAATCTGGTGTAGTGGTCGTGATCTATTTGGTGGGGCTCCAGGGTAGTGGCTCGAATCGACTCGCTACGCTCATCACCGATCAAAATGACCTCGGCATGGACCTATGGAATCACACGCTTGACACCAAAGTGAAGGGCGGTGATCAACTTGCCGTCGGGGATTACGTTCCCAGATCGAGGTGAGAGCGAGGAGAAGAAGGCCGAGGAAGGGTGGCTCCGGTACCAATTTGTTAGCAGCAAAGGTAGGAGAAGAGAGGAATCGGAGAGAAGGACAGGAAAAAGAGTAGAGGTCAGGGAACAAATGAGTTCTTCGATCACGAGTTGGGAGAGTTTGTTACAGAAATAACATAACCCCTCTTACAAGAAGCTCTCTGGCTTATATAGCAAAGCACTCTCACACACGAAATCCTCAGCTGGCCTTCACACGTTGGCCCAGTCCGGCCTAAACACCCGCGGGTTCATGGTCTTGGCCCGCCTCGGCCTTCCCTTACTGGAGCTGCCCTCCGTGCCTTCCTGTAGCTCGGCCGGCACAGCTCTGCTGGTGGCTGGTTATGATGCAGAGGCGCCAACAATCTGAACCGTGATATATATCAGGACCAACACTTTGCTTGCCCATAGACATTATTGATGGCAGAAGGCTGCGGATACAGCTCCCTTTTTCTCAAAAGAAGAAGACCAAGAAGAAGAAGAAACGGGAGGAGGAGGAGGATACGGCTCCCTTTGCCTGCAACCTACTGCCGGTCGGCAGAGTTATCCTACTGCCATACGGAGTAAGCCGTATGGCAGAGGCAGATCAACGCTTGCCGCTGAGTTTGTCGAGGATGAGGAATTGAGGATCGCTGCCGATTTATTTGTTTTTTTTTGAGCCATCTCCGAAGTGCGGAATGGCAGAACAAGTTGCAGAGAACGTTGCACGTCATGCTCGCGTGCAATTTTATTTCCACCGTAAAACGAAATGGGCATGGTACCACGTCTTCCTTCTCGTCGTAACTGCAAATTGCCCAGTGGCGGAGTCGCACGAAAATGCAAGCAAAGAATGAAAGAAAGTTGTCGTTCTGCAATACAATCTGATGGAGATATGTGATCCAATTAAATCCATGAAGTATAGCGCGTTTAATTTCAACCCCAAATTTTCAAAATGCTACAGTATCCATCACATCGAATCTTGCGATACGTGCATAGAGTATTAAATATAGACGAAAAAAAACTAATTGCACAATTTGATTAGAAATTACGAGACGAACATTTTAAGTCTAATTAGTCCATAATTAAACACTAATTGTTAAATAAAAATAGAAATATTACAGTAACCCAAATTTCCAAATCCATCCATCTAAACACGAACATAGAAGAAAAGCATATGCCGAATAGAGGTCTCGGCACGGCATCTCGCTGCTTACTCCATCCAATTGGAATCGGAAGCAATGAAAATGGACTGGTGGCTCCCACCGAGTCACTGCCAACTTGCAGCCTGTTCGGGAGGCCGTATCGTATCGTGAATTATTTACTGTTGGCTGGTTTAATGTGAGAGAAAAATACTTTTCCCGGCTGAAAATTTACGGTCGTCTTCGATACACTCATAACGCAGCGATGGGACAAGGGTAGAGCAGTCAATGGCGCCCGAGGACGAGATCGCAGCGCGTTGTTGCCGATCAACGAAGATACTCCTGCTCCGCAGCTATCTATCCGTGAATCAATCGAAACAGCTCGATGTATGATCCAATCCAATACACACTTAGCGACAGGATTAATTAACTCGGCATTTTTCAAATCTCAGATGAGGATCTCAAGTCTAAACCACAACGGAGAAAAGAAATTCAAGGATGGGGATAGAATAGAACATGATCTAATTTGCGGTTCATCATAAAGTAAATATTTAGGACACCAAGACGAAGGTGAAGAAGGTAGATGATCGACAAGCGCAGGCCGGCCAAATGATTGGAGGATCCATCAGGTCCGATGATCAGTAGTCGTCGTCGCCGCCGTAGTCGTCATAGCCACCCCCGTAGCCGCCGCCTCCGTACGAGTCCTCCCTCTCCAGGTTCTCCTCCACCCTCTCCGACACGCGGTCCTCGAACTTGTCCTCCAGGTAGCTGGCCCCGCCGGCCAGCGCCAGGCCTCCGAGCACGCCCGCCGCCGCGCCCACCGCCAGCCCCGTCCCCATCCCCATCTTGTTCTTCTTCTTGCCGTCGGCACCAACGGCGCTGGTTCCGTACGCGGCGGTGGCGGCGGCGACAGGAGGAGCGCCGTACGCGGCGGCAGGAGGAGCGCCGTACGCCGGCTGAGGAGGCGGCGGCGCGGAGCCGTAGGTGGAAGGGTACCCCGCCGGGGGCGCCGCGGTGTAGGGCTGCGCGGCGCCGTAGCCGCCGCCGCTGCCGTAGGCGCCGCCACCGGAGCCGTAGCCACCTCCGGAGCCGTAGTAGCCGCCGCCAGCAGCAGCGGCGGCGGACGAGCCGTAGGGGTCACCACGGGTGCCCGCGTTGGCGTAGCCCGCCGGGGCCGGGTAAGGGTTGGGGTCGTAGTACCTGGACGGTTCCTTGACGGCGACGCGGACGTCGAGGCGGCCGTGGGGGCGGCCCGAGGGGCGCTTGAGGCGGAGGTTGCGCGAGGCCTTGCCCCCGATCCCGGCGTCGTCGAGGACGTCGCGGAGCGGGAGTCGCGCGGATCCCACGAGCGGCTTGACGCCCTCGGCGGCGTTGGCGTGCACGACGTCGATGTAGAGGACGGCGTCGTCGAGGCGGGAGGAGGGCGGGAGCGGGACCAGGAGCTTCTCGTCCCACGCGGGGTTCTCGCCGTTGTCGAGATCCACGCGGGTGGAGCACTTGGCGCCGGAGTCGATCCACACCACGGCGTACGGCTTCAGGTCGCCGTGGCGCCAGTTGACGTTCTTCAGGTCACGGGCGGAGCCCACGGTCACCTCCACCTCGTAGCGGGAGCCCATCGCTGGTGGCTGGTGCCCGAGCGGGATGGATCACGTCTCTCAGGGGAAGGAAGGATGGATGGAAGGGAAAGCTTTTGCTTTCGCGGTGACGACTGCACGAACTGGACCAACACGAGGAAGGCGACCCGTACAAATAGGGCCTGCACTGGCGGCTCGGCTGGGGAGTGGTGCCAGTGGGGACGGTGGAATCGAGTAATCGACGACGACGGGACCTTCCGCTCCAGTCTCCAGGCGGCTTCCTGGCCTGGCCTGCTGTTGTGCGCGTGTGCCACTTGCCTGCTGGCCTCCCTCCCAACGTTTGACCCGACTGACCGCGGCGATGCGAGGTCTGCAGTCCGCACCAGCAGTGGCTTGCATTGCAATGGATCAATGCGGGCCCACCTCACCCACCCCGCCACGGCGTCACCCAACCACCCCGCGCCATGACCACTTGTTTTCCCGGTGGTTAAGGTCCAGTTTAGATCCGAATTTTTTTTAAAATGCAACTGTAGCGTTTTTCGTCGTTATTTTGTAATTAGTGTTTAATTAGGTTTAATTAGGTTTAAAAGATCCGTCTCGTGGATTTCGTCTAAATGTATAATTAGTTTTATTTTTTATTTATATTTAATGCTTCATGCATGCATCCAAAGATTCGATGTCACCGAAAATCTTGAAAAATTTGGCAAAATGAAGTGGAATTAAACAGGGTCTAAGGTGGGTGTCTTGTTTGCTTAGCTACGAAGGAATGACGACATGGGTCCACCGTGCATTGTCTTCTTTCCTTCCTCGGTATTATAACATTGACCATTATTATTATTATTCATTATTACTCCTAGCTGGACTATACGTATATGGACTGTGTTACCAATATTTTAGCTACGCTGTGCTGACCAGACCTGCAGTACACGACCAACTTGCTGCCCGGTTTTGAATCCTAATTTGAATTTGTGCACCAGAAGTTGACACTTTATCATGATTTAGAATGTAATAATTTAAAATAAAGAACAAAGATGAAATGAAACAGAGATGAAGCAAAACCAGCTCTTCTAAAAATGGGTTCCATAGCACTCAGACATCCTTTGATAAAAGAGTAAAATGCACTAGGATTTTAAACTTTTCACAGATTCACGGATAAATCCTCTAACTAAAAAAACAACCATTTGAATTCTCATTCTAACGCCGCGCTCAAGTATAAAAGTTCCCACGAGCCCACCACGACACCCGTAGATGCTTATGTGGCCATGCTAATATGGATGAGGTCCGGTAAAACTTGTAAACCTTTCTCCCCCATTTCTACGTATATGTCCACTCCCTCTCTCGACAGGTAAGGCACATGGTCACTGTCAAGGACCAATACTAGGGTACCCTAAGAGGAAGAGTTAATAACCATCAACGTTGATTCATCCAAGTGGTCAAGAGCGCGACTACACCTCTTGCTGGGCTCCATCTCGTCTAACCACCGAGGCCATGGGCTCCGCCTCGTCCGACCCCCGAGGGTTGGCTCCGCCTCGTCCGACCCCCGAGGATTGGCACCACCTCGGCTAACTTCCAAGGGTCGGCTCCGTCTCGTTCGACCCCTGAGGGTTGGCTCCGCCTCGCCCGACGTCTAAGCACCGGCTCCGCCTCGTCCGACGTTCGAGGGCTGGCTCCGCTTCGGCTGACTCCCGAGGATAAACTCCGCCTCGGCCGACTCCCGAGGGTAGACTCCGCCTCGGCTGACTCCCGAGGGTAGGCTCTGCCTCGACCGAACCCCGAGGGTCGGCTCCGCCTCGGCCAACGTCTGAGGGCTAGCTCCGCCTCGCCCGATCCCTCAAACACGGTTCCTAATGGAAGCTCACGTCATCGCCAACCACTATGGCCCAGAAAGTACTACTCAAGGTCAAACCTCTGGCATCATGCAGGGAGCGGTCACATCTCAGCACGACCCATCCCCACGACATGTTATTACGGGGAACTCACATCGCCCACAGTGACAGACGTGTGGTCACTGTGCTGCCAACTCCTTGCCTGACCACTGTCCAACGTCAGTCGACCGGTGTCAGTTGACTGGCATTGTACCGCTAGCCCCCCGCATGGCCCCTGTCAGGGGACTCTTTGACCATTCCGTCCGCTCGAATGGGATGGAAGACAAGAACAACGCATGACGCCCGCACGTATGCTACTGCGGCCAATAGGACCTCGGTACGACGCCGCTGCTACCACGATCTACAGGGTCAGCGGGACCCACGTGAAGAGGAGAACGGCACACCTCCGCGAGCCTGTTTTCTCCTTCTCTTTCCCTCTTCCCTTCGACTGTAACCTCTGCTTTCCCTTGGGCTATAAAAGGGAAAGCAGGGCATCCCACTAAAAAACATCGAACAAGTGCATCACGCAGCATCGGTTCACCGCACCACATCACGAACAACACATCACCATAGACTTGGGACCAGTTTCTCTCTCGCCCGTTTGTAACCCCTACTACGAACTTTCAGTGCTAAGTAATTCAAGCAGCAGCCAAGAACTGGACGTTGGGACATTCTGCCCGAACTAGTATAAACCTTGTGTCTTCTTAGCACAACATCCGGGCCAGATACGCAATAATACAAATTTACTCATTAGTGTTTACTCAAAACATCGTAAGTTGGCGCGGCAGGTAGGGGCCTTTTGCACATTTCGACATCAACACCAGGCCTCGGATGGCTAATCGCAACGTCAGCTAGGTCCCGGGCGCGTGCATGCATTTTGGGAACCTAGACTTCGTCATCACGACGGAGGGAGAGTTGGTGCGGTCTTTCGCTGCCACACAAAAGCATTCACCAAGGCGCCCAAGGAGCTACAGCTGCCTACACCGGAAGTCCGTGCCCCCAAAAGCAACCAGCTCCTCAGCTTTGACTATGAAAGACTGCGCATCGTGATTACGGTGCACGAGCGTCTCAAGCTCCACCACGACGCGTGTGACACCCTCAATGCTCACAGACGCGAAGCGCCCTGAGAGCAACCCGACGAGGACGTACCGGTCCATCAGGCCCAACAGGGTGGCGGGCCGCATACCGTGGTTCCGGTGCATGAGCGTCTCGGCCTCCACTGCGATGCCCATAGGCATGCCTGCGATGATGCGAAGGAGGGGGCTAGCTGCGGTTACCATCCACACTGTGGCGGACGTTATGACGGCAGTGAGGACCAGAGCCTGAGCCCCAACTTGACGGGACCTCAGGCCTTTGGCCGACACACCCTCAAGGGCAAGGCAAAGCAGGACGAGGATGCCGACGAAGGCGCCTCCAAGCCTCCCAACAAAAGGAAGAACAAGGGGCAGCGCGAGAGCTCGCTAGTGGCCAATGCCGACCGCACGGAGGGCTGGAAGCCCACGGAGGGCACCCCAAGCCACTTCGAGAAGCTGCTTGAAGGGCCATGCCCAAACCATGCTTTCCCCGTCAAGCACCTGCACAAGGACTGCGTACTTTTGAAATGGTTCTTGTCCGGAAGCTCTAAAAAGGGGGAGCATAGGACGAAGCCCAGCTAGACGAAGTGCGTGACATCACCCTCCTTCGCTCGGCCTAGTACTAGTGAGCGTTGCGCCGGTACCACAGCTGTCGAGTGCGGGGTCGAGCCTTCAACGTCAGGGACCTGGTGCTCTGCCTCGTCTAGACCAGCCAGGACTGCCATGAGCTCTCCCCGTCGTAGGGGGGATTGTACATCATCATGGAGATGTTTTGGCTAGGCGCCTACAAGCTCAAAACTGTCAACGGTGAGGTCTTCATCAACGCCTGGAACATTGAGCAGCTATGTCACTTTTACCCTTAATAAACGCACACTTTCTCTTATTATTAGTTTCGCTGTCGAACTCCCTGATTTTTTGTGACACCCGACCCTAGCATATGGCGGGGGGTCGAGCCTCACTCGAGGACTAATAAGGGCATAACTATCTGGTTGATAATCTCTATGTCTGACCCTTTCTCATGATTAAGACCCAAAAGCGAAGTTTGCAGAAATAAACCCTGGGTAAAACTGGTCGGACCGCGAGAAACCTACGCCCTAGCGGGTACGGTGCCTTTGCTCACCAGCGTAATCAGAGTTTCTTTTCCACACCCCGGGCTTTTTTAGGCCTTAGCCATGGAAAGGGCCGGTATGCGTTTAAAAGTCTATCCACCTAGCAAACATTCTCAGTGCCCAACCCCCTTTCACGTTAAGACCTAGGAGCTAGGTTTGCGAAACAAGCTCTGAGTATAACCGATCAGGCTTTGGGAAACCTATGCCCCAGTGGCTACGACGTCTTTGCTCACCAGTGTGGTAGAACCGCCTAATCTAATGCCTCCCAGGAGTACTTGTCTTCCATTAGACACTAAGTACTCCAGGGAGAACACTAAATTACGTAGTTCCATCGGGCACACCCCAGGGGAGAACCCAAAGATCTACATTTTTCCATCAAGATCACATATGAGAGAATAAAGCTTACATCATTATTAACCATTTCTTACATCACTTTACATGTAACATCAGAGTATAACATTTATTATTTATAATAGCGAAATAGGAACATGTTATCAGAGTTATGAACAATTTAATTTAACAGCGGAATATAAACATGTGATCAGAATTACAACGGAAATAAATATCTATTCATGACATGATGAAGCATTGGTATGTAAACTATGAAAACAAATTATAAAACTTTCATTTATAAAAACATTTCGTAAGAGTTATAAATAGAGACTATGATCGTAGCGTAAAGGAAATCCTCTTTGAGCCTACCAGGAGGAATCCACACACAAGAGTCAGCTCTAGCATCCACCTGAAACCTACAACAGGGGGAAATAAAACCCTAAGTATTGAATTGTACTCAGCAAGACTTACCCGACAGGAGGAAAGAAAAGACTCCAAGGATATGCAAGGCTATCTGGCCTGTGGGTTTATTGCATCTGCAGGAAGCATTACTAAGCGTGCGTCCTTATATTCGATTTTTATTAGCAGTCGCATTAGTTCATTAACTAACCATTCTATGTAAGCACCTATGCTACTTTCAAGCAGGTGGTAAACAATCAGAG